GTTTAATATCTTTATCGATGATCTGGATGAGGGGATCTAGTGTACCATCAGCAAATTTGCAGATGACACTAAGTTGGGGGGGAGTGTGGATCAGCTGGAAGGCAGGAGAGCTCTGCAGAGGGACCTGGACAGACTGGAGAGTTGGGCTGATTCCAACAAGGCCACATGCTGGGTCCTGCACTTTGGCCACAACAACCCCATACAGCGCTACAGGCTGGGCACAGAGTGGCTGGACAGCAGCCAGACAGAGAGGGACCTGGGAGTTTGGATTGACAGGAAGCTGAACATGAGCCAGCAGTGTGCGCAGGTGGCCAAGAAGGCCAATGGCATCTTGACCTGGATCAGGAACAGTGTGGCCAACAGGTCCAAGAAAGTGATTCTTCCTCTGTACTCAGTGCTGGTGAAGCCACACCTGGAGTACTGTGTCCAGTTCTGGGCCCCTCAGTTCAGGAAGGATATTGAGGTGCTGGAGCAGGTCCAGAGAAGAGCAACAAGGCTGGTGAAGGGACTTGAGCACAAGTCCTATGAGGAGAGGCTGAGGGAGCTGGGATTGTTTAGCCTGGAGAAGAGGAGGCTCAGGGGCGATCTCATCACTCTCTACAACTACCTGAAAGGAGATTGTAGCCAGGTGGGCGTTGGTCTCTTCTCCCAGGTAACTATCAGTAGGACAAGAGGGCATGATCTTAAACTGTACCAGGGGAGGTTTAGGTTGGATATTAGGAAGAAATTTTTTACAGAGAGAGTAACCAGACATTGGAATGGGCTGCCCAGGGAAGTGGTGGATTCTCCTTCCCTGGAGATTTTTAAGATGAGACTGGATGTGGCACTTAGTGCCATGGTCTAGTAACCACGGCAGTGCTGGATCAAAGGGTGGACTTGATGATCTCGGAGGTCTTTTTCAACCTGGTTGATTCTATGATTCCATGATTCTTTGACCTTTCTTTTCTGGTTGCCATGCCTGTAGAAGTCCTTCTCGTTATTCTTTGCCTTGCAAAGCTCAGCTCCAGCTTCACCATTGGCCTTCCTCACCTCATCCCTACAAAACTGGGCTGCATCCTGATACTCTTCCCAGGATACCTGTCTGTGCTTTCACTGCCTGTGCCTATGTTTCTTGCTATTTAGTTTGACTAGCATGTCCTGATTCATCCGTGTTGGTCTCTTGACTTTCTTGCTTGATTTCTTGCACCTAGTGATCGAGAGCTCTTGAGCTCTATGGAAGGCATCCTTAAAGATCTGCCAGCTCTGTTCTGCTCCCTTGTTCCTGAGGGCAGTTTCCCCAGGGGGTGCTATTGACTAGCTCCTTGAAGAGCTGTAAGTTTGCTTTTCTAAAGTCTAGGGTCCTAACTTTTCACCTGGCCCATATCCCTCAGGACTGCAAACTCCATCAGTGCATGATCACTGCAGCCCAGGCTGCCTCCAATCTTGACATCCCCAATAACCTCACTTGCGTTGGTGACCACTAGGTCCAGTATCACATCTCCTTTGGTTAGACTATCTATCACTTGGCTCATGAACTTTTATCCTCCATGCGTTCTAGGAGTCTCCTAAATTGCCTACAGCTCACCATGCTACTTTTCCAGCAGATGTCAGGGTGGTTGAAGTCCCCCATCAGAACAAGAACCTGCAAGAGTAATGACTCCTGTAGCTGGAGTGAGAAGGCTCCGTCAGTAGGCTCCCCTTGATCACACAGCCTGTAGACACCAACCACAATATTCAATTTGTTGACTTAGTCTCTGATTCTTACCCACACCGTTTCAACCAACTCATGGCTATTCATCAGAGACAGCTCTTTACATTGTATCCATCTCTTGGTGTAGATGGCTACCTCTCTGCCCCTCCTTCCTCTCTGGTCCCTTCTGAACATCTTATAGCCATCAATATCAGCACTGCAGTCACAGGATTCATCCCACCAAGTTTTAGTAATGACACTTCAGTAACGACAGGTCATGCTTTCTAGCAGCATGGTGGCTTCCAACTCCCTGTTTGTTGTTCATACTGCATGCATGGTGTAGAGACCCACGTGTTTGAGGCTTGTGGGTTGACTCTCAGCATGTGGTGTTATGACTGAAGTTTTCCCACTTGGAGCCCTGAAGTATCACCTCTATGCTGGTGATATCACCTCTATGGCAACCACTCCAGCCAATATCCAGATCACACAGCCCTGAGAAGTCCATATGCCCACCACCAAATATTCCTGGATATTGATCCACAGCCTTGCACAGCTATTAACAAAGTATAGTCATCACAGCTCCTGTAGTTGTGCATACTTGTGCAAAGAAAATAGTGAATGTATCAGATTTGCATAAAGTGTGAAGCAAGAAGTTAATAACTTCTGTGTCTGCAATTATATTTTTCCCCTTGTCAAAAGGGGATAATCTGCCACAATTCCACTATATTTGGAAATGTAATTCAAACTGGGACCTCCACTGTCTTTAATAGACAAATAGACTAAATGCCAGTGAGAATGGATTTTAAAATCTGTATTTTAAGCACTGCAGTAGTACAACTAGTCAAGACACAAAATTACTTTTAAGTTCTAGCTCAGTGCTTGTTGTTGGTATCTTCAGAAAAGAGATGGTAAAATAATATTATAAGAAAATCAAGATAATCAGAACATTTTTAATTAAAAAAAGATCATGCACTATACTTCTTTGAGATGTAAAGAGGGGGTTAGTTTCATTTCACATTCCTCCTTTTATGTTTAAATGTGTTTCAAGCTCATATCTAGATGTTGACAAAATCAAATATTGATCTCTTCCTAATTTTCCAAGCTACAGAACAGTAAGTACTGCACAGTAAAAAGAAAGATCTAATAGAAGAGGTGGCAAGTGGGATTTCATGCTGTTTATATGTAGTCACATAAAAGATAGGCAATCACAAGAAGTGTGGCTCATTTAACACTGGAGAGACATTTTCTTTTAACTATGCATGAAAGGGACAGTATTGCCATATACTGCTCTAACCACAGTGAATCAGTTGCAGTAAGGGAATCACTGCATTTTACAGTTTGTTGCAGTCACATTCAAAACCAAGGCCTGGTTCTTCTCTCTGTAAAATTAGTTCATATAAGCCCAACATTGCTCCCATCCCTACCTCAAGATTCAGCCACCAGATTCCTAATTAAGACATGCTAGACTGGACAACTTGTAAAGCACGTTTCATTCCCCAAAAGGCACCAGAGTAGCAAGATCTTCCCCTAATGTCTAGTAAATAAGAAACAGGGAAAGCCCATGCTTACCAGGCAATCACTGGCACTCAGATACAAGTCTAACTCTGTCAAGGAAGCACTTGAAGATCATGACATACAGAAGACTCTGATGAATCAAACATGCAACCCATCATACAAGACCTGCTACTGTCTCCTAAACCCCAATTAGCACCATAATATCAAGCTCACAAACTGAATAAAAACACTGCATCACTTTTATTTGCTTTTATTTGTCTTTAGACAGTAATTGCAGCGTACTCTCTTATCATCCACTCCTCTGCAAAGCTCTTAAGCACACATAGGGCTTCCTTTCTTTGTAAAACTAGACATCTACTATTTATTTTGTAACAAAAATGCCACATTGTACAGTAATTTCCATATTGATGAAATACAAAGGTTCTATAATATTTACAAAGCCTTTTAAACTGCATTAGCAAAACTGTTTTGCTAAATGGCATTTTCCAACTTATCAATCCTTACGCTATATATAAGCTCATTTCTTCCAAGAGTCACCCCTATTCACATAATCAAACCATATCATTTGAAATGCTGTGACCTTGTCCTATAAAATGTTTGAAATTATCTTGATGATGGCAATGTAAGGAATGCTGCTACCCCAAATTTTTTATCAGAAGTAAAAGCTGAAAAAGACTTAGATCTCTTAAAATTATAGATTTTAAATATCAGAGACGCAAAGTGTTTAAAAGCCATTAAAAACCACGGGTCATCATAAAAGGTGGATCCAAGTTCTGAAACACTTGTCCTGAATCATTTCAATGTGAATACTAAAGAATGAAAATCCACTATAAAATTACAGGATTATTTCTATAGCCTGACAAACTTACTTTATGGTAATACATTTTTCAATGTCAAGCAGTACAAACAAGATATCTAAAATTATTAGCAAATATAATTACTTAATTACCTTCAAAATAATGATTATATGAACAGTGAAATAAGTTTGACAGACTGAAGTAAAATCAAAATCACTGTAGTCAGAGAAATTTATCCAAAGCAAAAAACATTTTTTTAAACACATATGTGTTTAATACAAAAGAAAAGTAGAGCACAGTTTTTCAACAACCGAAATAAAGCTCAAAAACACTTTGAAAAATCAATTCTGCCACTCTTTTTGCTTCTGCTGGGCACACCAATTTTCGCATCTTAGTCAAAGATCCAGTGCATGTGCACAGCTTCTCTATTTTACCTCATTTGAGAGAAAAATTTTCAGAAAACATGTCTCCAAGAAACATCTGACAACAGTACATCCACATGAATTAATAAAACAGTGGAAAACCCAGCACACACTTTACAACAACAGCAATCACTTGTTCACAAGCCACTGGCCGTAATCCTTCTCCTTAATATATTAATGATAGACAGTTCTCAAGACATTACATCAATAGGAAAAGCTTTAACTCTCCCTTGCATCAATAAAGCACATCATCTGACCTGAATTGCAATTATTCATTACTAAATCACTTTCAAATGAAACAATACCAACCTTCAAAGACATCTTCATATAATGAGCTATCTTTGTTGACCATTTTGACTAGCCACAGACTTTCTACCTAGTCTATAATCTTTTAGAAAGTCTAATGAAGTCTGAGAAATGAAAGACAAGTCCAGTCTTTCATTTATGGACTTCTTTTTACACTCTTTTTCAGTACAAAGATACACAGCATTGCAGAATCATTCAGCATCAATTTCTGCCACCAAACCCACGGTGCAGATTTAATCTTAAATAGATATCCTCTCAAGGATAAACAAAATTAACTCATATCAATCAGACCTGAAAGATGTTTTCACCAGTGCCTCAGGACTGTCCACTGGTGGTAGTTCATCTGCTAAGATTTCATCAGGAGGTCTAGGGTCATTGATGATGGTCAGCTTTGGCCTTTCCTTGAGGTTGCTGGTCAACCCACCAACAGTGGTGTTCCACAAGCAGTTTTGTGACTTAGACCCTGAAAAAACAGAGCAAAAAGGAAAATAAATTCATAGGTTTATTGCCCAATCTGTCAGCAGTCTGGAAATCAAAGGTGGTCTGCTATCATTTTACCTTTGCATAACTATAATTTGGGATTAAGCCTGAAACCTGAAAAAAAACAATTGAAGTGGAAACACTGTGCGTGATATGGTGCATGTAATTTTCTCTCGATCCCCAAAGACAGAGTTTGTTGGTTGTATTTGCTGTAAAATTGCTCTGTCTCATTCAATTGATTCTGGTACCCCATATTCAGGTATTCCTTTAGCAAGGCTTTTACTACTCCTTCTGTGTCAGTCTTTCTTTCTGGAAAGGCTTTTGCCCAGCCTGACAGATGATCTACTATCACTAACAAGTAAGCCCATGGTCTTAGAGGTCAGTCTGACACCTGGGAATTTTTGACAAGTTGAGCAGTTGTTTGTGATTCATTTTGCAGCGGCAAAAATTCCTGGAGCCACCCATATTTGTTGTACTTGGTTAGCTATTGCCTCTGTCCCTCCATGGGCTTTATCATGAAACTATTTAACCACAGTGATTAAATATTTCTTTGGCAGAATCAGTTTTGTCCCAATTTAGCATATTCCATCATCATTTTGAGTTGCCTCTCACTTTTCCCACTGGCTCTTCTGTTGAGCAGTCCTTCTCATACATAGGCCTTATGTCTCCCAAATTTAGCTGTTCACTCTGGTCAACCACCAGAGCCACAGCAGTACATTGCATCAGAGGCCACCTGGCTGCAGCCTTTACAGCTGCATCAGCTACACCATTCCCTCTACCAGTTTCTGTAATGCCTCTAGTGTGGGCTAGTCAATTTGTGCTGCTAACTGTACTGCTTATAGGAAACTGCATATTTCCTCACTGTTAGACACTCTCTTCCCCGCTGACATGAAAAATTCCTGTTCTTTCCATAATATTCCTGCTTCACAACATAGCCCAAAAGCATACTGAGAGTCTGTATAGATGTTCAGGTGTGCTTCATGTCTCAAGGCTACTAGTTCTGCTCAGTGAGCTTATCCTTGCTAGGAGTGGTTCTGCTTCTATTACTTGTCCCTGGCTTACCACAGTGTACCCAGTCCATCAATGTCCTTGCAGGCAGTAGAACGAAACATTCACAAAAACAATTAGATCTGGGTTACATAAGGTAACATCAGCTAACTCAGTCTGTGCTTTACTTGAAATATGCATCACTTACAATTGTGATGTTTTTCATCACAGAATCTTTAAGGTTGGGAAAGACCATCAAGTCCGACCATTAACCTAGCACTGCCATGTACACCACAAAACCATGTCCCCAGCTGTCACATCTACATGTTTTTTGACCACTTCCAAGGATGGTGATTCCACCACTTCCCTGGGCGCCCTGTTCCAATGGCTGACCACTCTTTCTATGGAGAAATTTTCCCTACTGTCTAATCTAAACATTCCCTGGCACAACTTGAGGCCATTTTTGCTCATCCTGTCCTTTGTTACCTGGGAGAAGAGACCAATCCCCACACTGGTACAACCTTCTTTCAGGTATCTGTAGAGAGAAAGCAATAAAGTCTCCCCTGAGCCTCCATTTCTTCAGACTAAAGAACCCCAACTCCCTCAGCAGCTTCTCATAAGTCTTGTGCTCCATATCCTTCACTATCTTCATTGCCCTTCTTTGGCCATGCTCCAGAACCTGAATGACTTTCTTGTAGTGAGGGGCCCAAAACTGAACACAGGATTCAAGATGCAGCCTCAAATCATCAGGCAAAGTTATTATGCTTGCTGAATTCAAGGTGTTACATGTTTTTAAGAATAAGTTAGTGGCCATTAGGAGAATTAGTTCATATCTATGTGCCTATTGTGCCCATAGAGCTTGGGTTGCATACTGTCTCAACATTATTTCCACCTCATATGGGACATGGACTGTTACAGGATAATTCAGGATAAAGGGATAAGCTTTTCTCCAATATTGTTGCTGTTGCTGCCACTGATTGCAGCATCACTGTTGCTGGTGATCCCACTGCAACTGGATCTTCTAGTTGAATTGAATAATATACAACTGGTTTATGGTGAGGTCCTAATTTCTGCATTATCACCCCATTGGCTATACCTTTACATTCATGAACACACAGAATGATAAATTTTGGTATAATCTAGGAGCATGAGAGCAGGAGCAGATGCCAAAGCTCCTTTCATTTGCTTTAAAAGCTTGCTCCCTCTCTGGGCCCCATATAAGAGGTTCTATCTCTTTGTTCTTGGTTGTCTGAGTCAGAGACTTAATCAATTTGCCTAACGCAGGAATTCACAGCCAACGAAATCCCACAGCTCTAAGAAATCCTCATGTCTGCTTTTTCACGACCAGACGTAGGAGCTTAATTATGGACCCTAGTCTTTCTGAGTCTATCATTCATTTCTCCTTCCCAAAACAAAGATGAAACACTGTAACTCTCTTTTGACACATCTGAGATTGGGTAGAAGTGCACAGTGTCTCTTCTTTGCTAGGGCAATACATAAATGTATAGTGTCTAGTACACAAGCATTATCACCCCTATTTGCCAATAACAAATCATCACATATTGTCCAACAACCAGTAATGTTACACCTTAATTACAGTGCAGTAAGTGCCAAAATTCTCTGCACGTTCAACAGGTCTCTACCTCTTGAAAAGCACAACAGAACCCAACAGCAAGAGTATTTTACTTTCCTTTTCACTGTGGTTGTTTAGTCTAGGCCTTCCTTGGTGACCAGTTTGTAACCAATGAAGTGTCCAGATTTACCTGGTATTCCCTACGATTTTTATGTAAGCCAGGGTATAAGAAGAAAGGAGGAGAGGCCTTTGCCCCTCTTTCCTTCCAGCGGCTTTGGAGGTGTGGGTTTCCCTGCTGTTGAGTCTGTCGTGTTGGGGAGTGAGGCCTGGTAAGGCCTTGCCAACCTTGGGAGATGGAGGTTGCCGGTAGTCATTCCAACGCGACTTGCCATTGTCCCAAGGAGAGTAGTAAGATATTCTTTTGCTAATTCTTTTAGTCGCTAGATCTTGGGCTATTGGTCGTGTATATTTTATTTTGGTTTTGTTCTTTTTTTCCTTCCCCCTCCCCTTTCCCTTTTCCCTTTGAAATTGTACATATATTTCAACTGTATATAACTGTAATGTAAGTGTAAATATATCTATATATATTGCTTTAGCTGCCTCTCTCTTGTTTCGGTTCTCTTGGGCTTTTTTCTCTCCCCTTGGTTCAGGGGGAGGGGGGAGTTCTGGTGGTGAGGTTTGGGACTTGGCAGGGAGCCAGCTTCAAACCATATCAAAGGCCAATACAAAACATTACGCAATAGAACCACAGTTTCCTGCTCAGGCAGTACTCTTTGCATATCATCCTCCTGGAAGCAAATGAAACAGTGTCTCCCAGATCAATATAAATAACACTATTTTGAAAAGTAAAAAGGTTTCCTGCTGCTCTGACCATGCCGCTAAACTGGATCACAGGTGATGCCGTCCATTTAGGAATAGAACTAATGACATGTCCTTGAGAGCAACTACAACAGTTCTCATTATTCTGGAGGAAATATTAAAATATTATTTGTATGTTTATTGCTCTTTTACCTAATACAAATGTACCTGTAGAAAAATGTGCTTTTATAAATATTTTCAAAAAGTATACATAAAATATTATCATAAGTCCTAGTCAACAGAAAATGTCATACAAAAAATAATGCAGTGTTTCAGCTGATGTGCACCTTCTGAAGAACCTGCTCTTGATGTGGTATTTTAAGTTTACATCCCAACAATTAAATCAAATAGTTACATCTAAATCTGAATTCATATAAGTATTCCAGAAAAAAAAAAGACACAAATAGCACACATTTTGAACATGAGTATGCCTCTACAGGCAGGTGTCCTGGAATCCTCCCTTTTGAAGAGGTTCCACATGCACACACTAGGAACACATTGAAGTGAACAACCACCTATGTATATATGGCCAGTCTTCGCGAACGAAGATTTTGGGAAAGGTCTTTTACCTTTCAAGCCTGCGCAATGGATTTTTTAGGTGAGACACAGCCTGCGCTGAACTGAGCCCACCCTTTAATCCTAAGGTTCATCTGCCAGGGCCAAGCAAGCTTGGACAATGGCAGTGAGGTCCTCAGGACGTAGGTTTGTTTAGAGTGACCTTCTCATAGATGGATGGCCTCACAGGGCTAATGGGCTCCATCTGCCTGGGGGACCGGGAATTGAACCTGGGTCGCTGCGGTGAGAGTGCCGCATCCTAACCACTAGGCCACCAGGGGTCCCACAACCACCTATAAAGAACTGGTAAAAAGCACTATCTGCTTTGCCATTGACTAGGAAATGAAGTGAAAAGCTTTAATTGGAAAACGAAAAAAGAGAACCTGTTTTGATTGAAAAACTGTGAAAGACAAGCTGCTTTTATTGACAACTGTAAAAGGCAAGTTGCTCTAATTGAACAAACGACAAGAGTCATCACTTTAATTGAAACTGTTTAACACATATTGCTTTAATTAAACAGTTGTTCTTTAATTCAAAAACCATTAAAGACAACTTACTTTAGTTTAAAAGCTCTTAAAGACAAGTGACCTTAATTAAGGAACAGTGGGTATAATTTAAAAACTGCTACACGGTAAGGGCTTCAGATAACTGCACCCTCCCACATAAGGTACATAGTAATGGACCAGCCAATGGGCATTGAAAGTGTACTGTGGGCTTTAATTAAAACAATGTTAAGCATGTTTCTATCAAAAATTAAATTGTGTGAGTTAAGAAGGCATATAAGCAAGTGCTCAACAGGTCACATGGGTTGCTGCTGTTGTTGCTGCTGCTGGGATTGCTGCTGCTCTGCTTGCTGGTTCACTCATCATCAGAGATCACAGGATGAGAGATCACAGGACATGTGACCATGAGAGAAGATCAGAGAAGAAGATGAAGAGGAGATGGGGAATAGAAGACAGAAGACCAAAAGTCAGAGCCTAATATCCCCCACCATAGAGGACCAAATCTAC